GCTTTGGCAGAGTCTGTAGAACTTTCCATGACACTTCATCCTCTAAGTGATTGGTTGATGGCAGCAGAAAATGTCACGACTTTCATGCTCTTCAGGGATCGCTAGTCACATGGATTGGGGCACTGTGACCCTGAAAAAGACAACTCCATCAGCAGAGAAAAATCTTCACCGCTTCAGGATGGAGGCGATTACTGAAGAGACATAAATCATACTGAATTGTGCACTGCACAACAACAAAAAACAGCCCCATTATCTGCTCGCCACTGCATCACGTGTCGATAATTACCTCTGGCATTTCTCACTAACTATTTTTATCTGCTGCGAACACAAAATAATGCGTCCAGGTGTATTAAACACAGGAAGACTCTTTCCCGGTTTTAAGTCTCACCTTTCCAAAAGCATAAACCTCGGCGAGCATGCAAGTGACCTTTACCACATCCTCTACCACTCCAGATCGCTCCTCTCCTGTCATTTCCTGCTGTAGTCGTCCAAGTAAAATAACAGATACCACAAAAAGACTAAAGGTGCTGCAAACAGGATCGATATTTTTATCGGTTTTTTTATGAATAGCAATTTATTCGTAAGAGTTTTTAGTCTTATTTGCTTTTTGGAAAAATATTTTCTGTTGCTCTCCCACTGGTTAAATAGTTCATCCATTCAGATTCAAACCAGCAATCAAAAAGCACTTGATTGCACAACTGACGGCATTCAGTTTTTAATTCAGGATTACTTACTGGTTATTTCCAGTAATCAGCAGTTAATTGTAATATTAGAGCAGCAGCGCAAGGTTAATGGCTGCCCTGCATTTTGCATTACAGTCGAGCATCAACATAAGGAGCGGAGTCGAGACTTCTTCGACACGACAAAAAATCTGCATGATAAGCATCACAAAGCATTTATTGCACGGCTGCCGGACTGGACGACGCCCTGCTGTGTACACACTGGTGTGTTGTATTTGCTTTCTTGCTTCTGGTTAAACTTCCACAAGTTATTAAAAAAGATGCATCCAGTGTACCAGCGTTTCCATTTGAAAGCCTCATAAAACTGCAGAGCTGTAAGAAAAACAAAGTGTCAGGTTTGGGGGGAAAACCCCCAAAACATTAACGATGTCATTAAATTGATTTTTGTGTGGCAAACCTTGAATGAACGGGGAAAAAAAACAAAGACTTCTCTACACATTCTCCCCAGCTGTATGATATAATCTGTCTCCACTCTGAGATACAATAGACAATCCAGGTTGTTATATAAGGTACATCCGTGCTTTGTGTTATGAGAGTAACCACTCAAATGAGCTCCAATGGAGCCACTCAACTGTTGGGGGAATCAACAGCAGGATTTCAGGACAAGTGAACGCTGCAATTTCATCTTTCATCAACTTTTGTAGTGTTTGTCTCGCTCTTCTCTTGAGGTGTTGCATAACAGAGGAGGTGCTGACTGCTAATAGAGCCAGAGCTGGGAGCATTGTACGTGCTAACAGCTGTATGTCTGCGTAATGATGCCCTCTCTGCTCGCACTCATCCAGCTCAGCAGTGCTGACATGAAGAGCCATAATTGCACGCAGAACACGCGGACGGGGGCACATACATGCAACATGCATGCTTTGAATGGCGAGCCCTCTGCTTCCCACACAGTCATCTCTGAAGACTTGTGCAGATTTGCTGAGAAAGGAAGCAATCAATGCCTTTCGCTCAGAAACCGTACTCCAACCCACCCCCCATTTTCTTTTCTTTTTAACACTTTCCTCAGATCTGCCAGAGCCCGCTCAACAATTAATAATTAACGCATTGGCACATAATGGATCGGAAATTAATAATTCAGTCTGCCGATATGGACTAAAATAGACTAAAGGCTAAGAGCAGTCTGCTGCGGAGCAACAGGTTCAGGCAGACACGTGGGATACGGATAAAGGGTGGGCCGTCAGCGCATACAGTAAGAGACAGCAACTGCGAGCTGCTGGCAATAATTTAGGAACATCAGTCAGTGTTACGCATGTGTAATAAGGCTGGGAATACAGTCGCTGCCGCGCTGCCTGGGGGCCAGCGCAGCACTCACTGACAACATTTGTTCTTGCATTAAAATGCATAAGTGGGTAGTTGTTTTAACTTAGAGCCCAGTTAATTTGGACCAACGTGCAAAGAGAAAGACTGGCAACAAATCGAGAGGGATAAACAGCCCGCTTGTTACTTCGCTTTAACTGGCGTGTTTCGGTTTCAATTCTGTATTATTTATCACGTTAACACCGCTGCAAATAATGCAGGACATAATCAAGCTGCTCGTGCTGTGACTGATGTCCGGGCCTGTGACATTTTAATTAAGGCCACCATAGGAGTACGACACATTATGACTAATTTGCCTTACCTCAGAGCCCAGAGAGCATAATTTGCTAACTTGATGTTTAATAAAAGGAGCGCGCCTGGCTGCAAGAACAGCAGGGCTGAGGATTAGTGAAAACAGAGGGGTCACCGGCACCAGAGGATATGATTGTGACATAACTGATACCGTCCCTCGCTGCCTTTATTTCAGGTAACGTCGCGATATTTTCAGGTCATACAGCGCTGGCCTTTCATGCAGAATCACGGGTTTTAGCGGCCACCTGCGTGCTCGGCTGAGCGTCGCAGGCCAGTAAAAGAAAGGTCAAACACCTCTCTTGTCTTGTTAATGAGTTACCATGGCGTCTCCTCAGCAGGACCAACAGTGTCTCTGGGATTACTGCCGCAATTTCATGCACTGCCCTTAATAACACTGCATGGGGAATGTAGAGCAACGTGACTGCTTTGTCCTGCTCGACAAGACACGCAAAGGAGGAGATGCGCACAGATAGAGTTACACGGAAATACAAACAGACGAGGCTTACCAGCGTCTGCTTAATCCTGCTGGGAAAGCTTTATATATTATTGATTGTCTTTCAAAAATCACACAGTATAAAAAACAATGAACACAAAAGCCACGATTAATGAGGAAAACATTTATAGTTCTTAAAACCTGCCATCAGTTATTCTGCGGCTGTCTGTAGCAATGGAAGCCAATATGATTACTTTACAGCTATAACTTATGATTATTCTTATTATTGATTGTTACACTGATTAACCAATTCATCTTGCATACAGCAAAACCTCAAAAATAATGATCCCACTTCCCAAACACTGGAGGTGGTTTTGCTTTGCATGACCAGTGCACAACCTGCTGCAGGCTTTCATTTAGAAAATGAAGGCAATCGCTTCAGGGATTTGTGGAAAGGTTATGACCTGTTATTGGAAAATAGTCCAGAAAAATGCCCAGCGTCATTTCTAAAGAGTAAGAGGAGACAAATATAGCCAATTAAATATGCAGTTTAGGAGGATTTAAAGGCACAGCCTCCACCTTTCCCTTTTCAAAACCAGCAGGTGTTGAAATGAGGTCCTGCAGTTACTCTATTGTTCATTCTTCCTCGGCTCACTTGTTGCAGTTGCCACCAACAACGACGCTACAAAGGAAGGCTTTGCGACTAAAAGACAGCAGGTCGAAAAATGCCAAAGCAGTTTTGCTTGCGCACGGAGAGACGGACCTCCGAGTCCTAATCCAAGGCCATATTTCATTTAACATGCCTTCTGAGGCTGAGCGTGGTAATGTGTGCCGCCACTGCACAGTGAAGCTATTCATCCACCCCCGGCCTTGTCATGGAGAAAAGCTTTGCAATGTAAACACAGCAATGTGTTACAAAACGTGCGTGTTAGAGGGTTTTTCCCACAGTTTTGATTTTGATAAGCTGAGGATTAGACTGTGAGGCTAATGCATAACTGTTGCACATCTCTCCTGACCTCCATACGCATCTGTGTCCTTCACTGCATTGATGAAGAACCGTTGCCACTGCACTTCTTGGAGTTCTTTAAAAATGACCTATTGACAGTCACTCTTCCACTGGGACAATTTCTGATGAGGCTTCAGCAAACAGTAGCTGGATCGATTGAAGGCCCAGATGCAGCTCTCCAGTCCTTTGTCAGGTATTTGCAGCCTCCCCCCCCCCTCACCATTTCTTAATACTGTAGGTAGTTTTTATTTTTAAGTCTGCCACTTCTGCTCTTGCCCTCCACGTGCCTCAGACTTTTTAAGGACTCACTGCAGGCCATGTGGAGATATGGCAGGTTTTCAGCTAATCGCTCCTGCGGCATCAAAACTACCATTTTGAAACTGTGTTTAACAAATGATGCGTTTTTGCAACAGGCTGTTAGTAACAAAGTGCCCAAAGATACCATTTAAAATTGGTTCTCTGCCAAGTTGTCGGTCACGTGTAGACACAATACTGGTTTGTCCCTTGATTTTGGTTCCTTTTTGTGGTTGTATGATTCACAAGTGGTTCAACAAAAAGGTACAAGGACTGGGCTTAAAACGCAGCCAGTATCCAAAGGAGAACTGTGAAAGCTTACAAGAAGGAACAGGTCCTCGTAAACAAAATGATCATGGACTTTTGCACAGTCCCACTGTAGTGTGTACAGTATGGTTACTAATAAACGTTAATGTCTTCCTATTAAATCCAGCCAACACGGTCTAAAGCCGCACAAGTCTGAAACATGGGCGGCTGGCAGAGTGCACCACCCCCACAGTCAGGGCTTCAGCGGTGCTTTCTCATTACCAATCAATGACTAATAACAGCAGACACATGATCCTAATGATCCTCCGCGTGGAGAAGCACAAACTCGGTTTATCTTTCATTTCTCGCACCGCGTCCACATCTTATTAAACCAACAACCCGAGCGACTCTCCTTCGCTTCGGAAACGGTCCGTTAGCCGCTAAATCTCTTATCAGACGCTAAAGTATCCCAATCACGCACGAACTGATTGGCCGTTACTTCCGCTGAGCTCGAGCCAAACATGGAGGCTGTCAAACACGTAAAGAAACGCAGAAAACAAAAACAGCTCTCATCAAGTCCGTGTTTGTCCGAGGAGAGGAGGGGGAGCTGGTTTAACCACGGGCCGCTGGGAGGTCTCATTAAGAACTGGTCGGCCGTTGAGGTGGGACTCACCTTACTCAGCTTCACGGGGACACGGTCAGCCAGATGACAGCAAGTTAGTACTGTGAGCGAAAAGCGTTCATCCTGGCAGAGCAGATGAATTCACTTCACAGCATATTCAGGTTTTCTTCCACTCGTTCTGCTGCGTGTCGGCCGTGAAACGTCCTCGCTGCTGTTCAATTCAGGTTTTGTTCTGTAACCGTGTCCTCGGCACAGATGTGTAAATTATTGAACGCGTGTTTTCTTCCCTCGGCTGCTGCGATCAGTTACCACAGTTTGCTGTAACTCGATTCCTCCCACTCGTAAAAAAAAGTTTCAAACTTGAGGAGCACTTGGAAATCACCAGATTGATGTGGGCTCGGACCAATGGAGGAGCAACGAGGGGGAGTGGTCCAGGTCGAAAGAAAAGGGCCATTTACAGCCAGCGCAGTCCCTGCCCCCGTGCAGGGCTTCCAGTAATTATCCTCGTCCAGCTCCCACTCCCAAGGCTGAAAGTTTCCCAGAGGAAACGGTGTTAGGGGAACAATGAGCAGGAACCGTGGGGAGCAACTTTTCTGTCAGGGTCAAAATAATAAATAGCCTATAATGTGTCTTTTTAGCCTGCGTTGGTGCTTCTGGTGACAGTTTTGCAGACAAAATGTGCTAAACGCTGCTGAGAGCAGGCTGTTGGGATAATGATCCTGATGTGAGAGAGGGAGAAACTATCAGCGGATGTTTTCGGGACAGGGGAAGTGTTTCCCCGTCTGTCTAATGAGGATACAGAAATTCCCAAGGTCATGTCCGTTTTGGATTGTTATGTTAAGACAATAGTTTATTTTATATATATATATGATGTAGACCTGATACTCTTGCACTTGCAGTGCTATGTTCAGGAAACCCTTTTTCTTTTTTGACAGCCAGGTGTGATTATTGAGGCGTTATCTTACTGAGCTACAAGAACATTTTTGTATAATCTCATTTACTGTAAGATTTGTGTTTCTATGGGATGAGTCTGTGACAATGAGGATAACATGGAACAGTTGCAGTGGTGAGATTGATCTGGAGCGCCCTCTTGTGGTACAATGTGAGAAATTACTCTGTAAGCTGAAGACCTTTGCAGAAATGCACACAAAGTAAATCGTGTGCTGTTTTTCTTCCATTAGTACTAAGTGGTGCAGAGAGTGGTCGGGATTATCTGTGATAGAAGGATCCTGGAAAGAGTCCAGGTTGCAGTTCATTCAGCTCTGATGCTGCTAGCAGACAAAGGACACCAAATCTGCATCATTTTGCTGCACACATTGAAGGATCTCAGCTTCCTTAGGCGATAGGCCATGCTCATATCTTTCTTGTGTACAGCATCTGTGTTGGTCTTCCAGTTCAGCCTATTGCCAGTGTGGATGCGTAGGTGCCTGTACTCCCTGCAACTCATCACCATCCTGTTCCAGGATAGACACGGGTCATGAAGTCAATCGTCATCTCTCTGGTCTTATTTACTTCCAGAAGCAGGTGATTCACCCCAGACAATTCAGCAAAATCATCTACTTGTGTTCAGTTGCTTGCTCATCACTAAAATACAATACATCCAACCACTGCAGAGTCATCAGAGTGTTTCTGTAGGTGGCGTGACCCGGAGTTGTACTGACAATCTGAGGTGTGTGAGGTAAACCGGAATGGAGAAAGCACGATCCCCTGTGGAGCCCTGCACATCACCAAACCAGGCAGAGCACTGCCCAATCTCACAGACTGTGTCCTGTCGGGCAGTCTGTCATCCATATAGTTGGGGCTGAGAGCTCCATTTTTACACAGCCTTCAGCTTACATGCTGTTTGTTGTACAGCAGGGTTTTAAAACAATACTGATGTCCATTTATAATAAGTAATAATTATAAGCAGAAGAATGAGTATTTGTATAGCACTTTCTAAAACACACATTTACAAAGTGCTTAACAGTTTGGATAAAATCACACAGTGATAAGTGTTCATATTTAAACATGGAAACACACAGTGAGATATGCACATTAGAAGAACAAGGGCTAATCCTAGCCTGTAAAAATGACTCTTCAGCAGTCATTTAAAACAAACCACAGATTCAGCTGACCTGAAGCCAAAGCTTAGGAGTTATGACTTTAAAAGCGTGATTGTCTCTGGATTTAAAATAGGTGCATGAAACAGTTAAAAGACCCTGATCAGAAGACTTGAGAGGCTGACTGCTGTTGTAAGGTCTCGTATATAGACACTAGGGGTGCAACAATACACAAAATTCACAGTTCGGTTCGATACTTTGGTGTCAAGGTTTGATATTTTTTCCAATACAAAAAATGTTGATGCCTTTTTAGTTTGTCATTTATTAAAATTATAAATATATATTTGAACTCAAAAGTACAGTTTTTAAATTTAATGTTGCTGAAACAACAAAGTAATAAAATACTAAATCTATCTGATTGAGGAATCACTCATCTTTGGAAAAGAGAGTTTATTACAGAGAAATGGCTCTTTCAAAATTAAAGCTATACTATAAGCTTCTTCTGGGCTATATTCTCAGCAGCACATTAAACATATCAGGTCCCCATAAGGAGAATCCTGTGCTAACGGCTGTCTGAATGACTCGGGTAAAGTTTGTAGCATGCTGCCTGTTGTTTTTGTCTGCTTCCACTTGTCTTTGCACAGGATGATGTCAGAGTAAATGTGCAGTCTTATTTGTTGTGTTCACACTAGTGCTGTCAGCGTTAATCTGAAATGACGTTAACGCCACAACACGGCAAATCTCCGTTAACGAGCTACCGCGGATCGCCCCGTGCGTGGGGCTGGACGGCCAACACGTTAACGAGCTAACTGCGCTAACGCACTAGCTCCCACCCATGTAATTGAGCATTGCGTGGCACATCCAACATACTGTTTTACTTTAGTCCATGACGCGCTTACCTTCAGGCTCACACGTCACATAAAAACCAAGATAGTTCCAAAGGCCAGATCTGAATGAGGGTGGGGGAGGTTCAATTTGCCATGTTGCAACGAGCTTAGCTTCTGTCTTGCTAGCTTGCGCTGCGCTCAGTGGATCTGCGCTCGACAGTGCAGCCTAGGCGGATTAGTCGAGCGCAGATCCACTGAGCGCTCAACACAGACAGCATCGTCAGAAGGAAAGTTGATAAAATAAATTAAACATTTTGTATTGTTCGATACATATGCGTGGTGTAGGGTGGCTGTAGCTCAGGTGGCAGAGCAGGTCAGCCACTAATTAGACCGTTCTGGACCATGAACACAGTCAAGGGAGGCGTCCGAGCAGAAAATGCAAGTGTGCACTAAAAGTGCCAAACTGTTGGGTTTCAGCGAAGGTTTGATTTTTGAGATGTTTCTTAAATGAAAGAAACAAGACTGGCTGAGCTCTGAGATTCAAACTTGCTGTTCATAAATAATACCAACGGCCTTAATACATGATTTGATGTTGCCTGAGAGCAGGCTGGTGTAATAACTGACCTGCTTAGAGATGTCTTCAGGCCCGAACTAATAAAAACCTCAGTTTTAGCACAACAGAAGTTTTTAATCTCAGTGGAGCATTCACTGAGGAGAGGTTGTTTGTCTTGACAGAAAAATACAGCTGTGTGTCATCAGCAAAGAAATTCTAGGAAGTGCCTTTGAAGGTGTTTAGCAGAATGCCCAGGAAAGAAAACTGCACCAAGGATTGAGCCCTGAGGAACCCCACGTGTGAGGGGGGCCAATGAGGACAAACAGGTAAGTATGATGAGAACCATTTGAACCAGAAATACCCCTCCCATGATTACTGGTGTCAGAGGCTGCAGATACGTCAAGCAGAATAATCACTTTTGTCTAAATGCACAAGAATAAATCACATTAAAATAAGTAAAGGCGCATATAAATGGGTACAGTAAAAGGACTAGATGTTACAATCCCTGGTAATGCATTGCTTCAAATGGAGAAAGTCTTGAGGGATGGTTGTTATGAGGAAAGGCAGTCCAGAAACTTTACCAGCAGCACACATCGTTGTGTGCCTCAGCTTCACAGGGTGTTTTGGTCTTTTACCAAGGCTAATCTGCCATTTTTTACCTTCCTTGGTTAGGTTTAGGGATTAGAGATCTGATCTAGATTATCATATTAAAATTTGGGACACATTGTCAGTAGTGGACCTTGGATTCATTGGGTGTTTTGGCCATTATCACTAGACACCCTCATCCAAGGAGGCCCTGCCAGGGCCCCGGAGTGTGTCACTGGTTTATGTTAACTTGTTATTTCGCTTCTACTTTCTTCTGTTTAGTTTTCTACAGTTTATTTTCTTCTATCAATTCACTGCAACTGAGAAGTAATACTTACCTCTTTAATATTTATGGAGCCTCACTTCTTCAAAGAGATAGAAAAGATGAAAGAGAGAAGTAAGACAAAAGAGACAAGACAGGAGAGAGCAGAGCTGGAAGGGCTCTTCTGTGCTATAAATGGGTACTACTCCTAACAAAGTAAGAAAGTGACGATCACAAAGTGCCTCAAAATAGAAATGTAAATATTCAAAAAAATATAAACACATATAACCAGAGCATTAAAAAAAAAGAGTTGACTAAAGACAGCAAATTTTCAGCATGTATCACAGAGATATATCATAAATCTATGCTCTCAGCAGTTTGTTGTTGAACTCCATCTCCCAGAATCCTGAGCAAAACGTAAGCAGGTGACGTATATGTGCTACGTGTCCAGGAAGTTCTGTAGTCAACATGGCGGCGCAGCAGGGAGATGTTGATGAGCTGTTCGATGTGAAAAATGCGTATTACATCGGCAGCTATCAGCAGTGCATCAACGAGGCGCAGAAAGTGAAGGTAGGTGACAAACAGTTAGCACCTGAATGCGTTTAAACGAAGCTGTCCCGCGGCTCTGTGAGCCAGCGGCCCGTTTGCGAGCAGCAGTGCTAAAGCTGTTAGCTCAAACTTCTCTCGGTGCTGAAATGCTGCCTGTGTTTTGTCTTTGAAGCCGTCGTCACCAGAAAAGGAGATCGAGAGGGACATGTTTTTGTATAGAGCGTACATTGCTCAGGTGAGTGTCTCCATCAGAGCTCTGTCACTGCGCACCCACCGCTGTCACGGAGTGTCGATGAGACCCGTCCTCTTACTTTCTGTGTTATTGCAGAGGAAGTATGCTGTTGTCCTGGATGACATCAAGGCCAACTCTCCCCCCGAGCTGCAGGCTGTGAAGATGTTTGCAGAGTATTTGTCGAGTGAGAGCAAAAGGTACCATTTTTACCTCTCTTGATTCTGTTCATCTGGACGTAGCGTTTTGTGGGAGAAACGTTTGGTCACTCATCTTATAAACCTCCCAGCCCGTTGTTCCTTCAGTGGGCTGGTTTCAGTCATTATGCAAATTTACTCTTTATAAGATGGGGAAACCTGCAGTCAGCTGAGACTGAAGAAGTCACCTGGATGAGTGACCAAACGTTTCTCCCACAAAACGCTACGTCCAG